AAAAAAAGAAGAAAAAAAACAGACCCAATGCATACCTTGAGAACATATTCTTTTCCAGTGAGAGTGAAATTTTTTCCACCAAGAACAAAGTCAATTGGAGGGAGAGAGTCAACCTTGCTGCAGTCAATTATGTACTGAAATATGAAATTCATTTTAAATTACAACACACGCATAGACGTGCACAGATGAGATGCAACAATATACTAATTAATGTGCAAGGGTTGATGCGGTTGTTCTTAAAGAAAAAACCTATTCAATCATCCAGTGATTCTACCCAAGAGTTCATACTTAAAATAATGGGTAGCCTACCACTGATGACATTTTCTTGGAGTGATATAGTATGTGAACTTAATAGTGTTTACTGTCACAGCTTTATTAACAACAGGTTCTTCTTTTCTTGGTTAATAATAACAATAGCAAAAGGCTCCTCCATCTTTTATCATTTTTTTTCCCACAAAAACTTTCATCAAATTGGACAAAAGGTTTGAAAATTTGGTAGCTGTAATGGCTTTCTTAGGCATGACACCCAGATATTCACCAATTTCTGCTTCCATGTACATGTATTTGGTGACTATGACAAACTTATATTAATTGCTTGTTGGGGGAAAACATTTGATGAATCAGAAACCAATGATATCTACCTCACCACCAACTATTGGACTGGCACCAATCATTTCATTTAACTTGTTAACTTCTGCGGTAGGTCCCCCAATAAGTGAGGTACCGGTATCAGCAATAGCTTGACAGCCACCCTGGCAAAAGGTTGATTTTCCATTCACAATCACACTGAAACAAATTGATTGATCTGCTTTAAGTCCTCAGTTTATAAATGCATAAAGTTTACCAGCTTGTCTATTCTGAAATTGTATAAATTGCAACTCACTTAAAGGAACCACTGCTTTACTTGATTTTCGTGAACCAGTGGGTCTAATAAAATTTATCTCATGAGAAAAGTATGGTCAGATTTCTCTAAGGGGGGCACAGATTCGACTCCTGTCAGAGCCTGAATTTTATTTTTTCAATCACTTAAATTGCAACTCCCCTGCAAGGATCATTGCAGGTGAGAATAAAGAGTAAGAATACAAAAAGAAAAAAAAAAAGAAAATAGAAAAACAAACAAAATAAGTAAAGTTAATGTAAACAATAGCCAAGAGCTTACCTGTCCATCTTAAATTGCCAGTATCCCTTCTTAGAGACAGGAATATAGGTAAAGTCTCCTGTATAGTGCTTGGGGTCGGAACCACCAAAGATCAGTTCCCCTCCCGGTGACCCAGATGGATCCCTTAGAATCAAACAATGAAAATATTCAACATCATTCAACAAGATGAACAGAAGTGATGGACTACATTTACTAGAAACAAGATGAACAGAAGTGATGGACTACATTTACTAGAAACAAGATGAACAGAAGTGATGGACTACATTTCCTAGACATGTTTGCCAGAAATTATGAAAACAATTTCTCCAGTCCAATTTTAAACAGAATTACTCTCATATACATGCACAACTGCATGTAGCTTGGACTATAGATTCCAAGATCTGGTTGCACTGTTCACTTGGCAGAACACCCCAGCAAAATTGTGAGATTGCAGGTTGAAGGCCATGGCTTTTCTTTCCCCAGTAGCACAGTTTTCGTACAAGGTACAAGTAATTAGTCAACTCTACCTATTTTACGAATTCTTGTAAAATTTTAACCCCAGAACATGTAGTTCTTTCCTTTACATTTTTAGTAGATGTACTGGATTCAGATTCCACCGCAACAGTCAGTGGTTACAAGTAATTTTATCAACAGACATAAGCTCTCATCCTAAGCATACTCATCTGTGAAATGCACATACCTGTTCAAGTAAAATGAGAAAACTGGTTTCTGCACAAGGCTTTGTTGGACCATATCATAGAAAACTGGAACAACACCATCAACAGATATGGTATCATATGCCATGCCAAGGATTCCATCAAATTTTGCTGCAACAAAGGCCACTCCTGGTTCACTCATGGCTTCAGCAAATGTTTGTTTTTTTACGGTTAAACCAGCAATCTGTAAGAATAAAATTAAAAAACAAAAAAACAAAAAAACAAAAAAAGATTTGGATTGTTAGTTAATCAAGCTATGCATATTCAGAGGGGTAGTATGTGCATCATGGTGATTGTATCAGTTTGTTAAAAAGTCTGACCCAGACGTTGTGCCATAGGAAATAGGGACCTTAAGCAGTTAGGACGGCAAAGATAAGGAAGACGTCGATTAAAAAATGAATTTCCACTTTTAATTAAAATTTCAAAAATGGCTGCATGTGTTTACCATCTCATACAGCGCCCCAACTCAACCTCAACATGACGTGTAAAAGTAGCGTTGAGTTCCAAATGGGAATTTAAATAATTTGCCGTCACGGTTTCAGTTCACAGATGACACAAATTTTGGTGATTTCACGTTGTTGTTTTGCAAAGGACAGCTAAGAAATGTACTAAGTTTTAAAATGCACTTGCTGACCTATTGTTCTGCCAATTAGATCTTTTGTTTTTCCACGGCCTCATTGCCGTTGCCGTCGCGGTTTGCTTAAGGTCCCAAATGTATAGAGAACAGTATGGAGAATGCACATACTGATGTTAGGAAGTACAATGTAAAGATTTAACACTAAGAATATACTTTGAACTAAACAATTGGCTACAAGGTTTAAAATTGGTGTCCAACTGGTACACTGTATGGTAATACCATGCATAAAAAAAGGGAGAATCTCAATAGGAGGGAGTTAAGGACTCAAGATACTGTTAGTGATAGAACTACCCTTACACACACATTTACATGTAACTTAACCTACACAAAGTAGCATGATAAGAATGTTATTTACCTCCACATTATCAGCGCTGAGAAATCCCTTCATGCTTCCACTGCCATACTGGATCTCAAACTTGGTGCCATTTTCCACATAAGTACTAGATTTGGTGCTGTCATACTTGTTGTGCAATACTGAAGATGGAATAAAAAAAAAGTTACAAATAAGAAATGAAGCTGGACAATGTGGTTATAAATATGTTTCCTCAGCCCTTTACACCCCTACATCAGTATAAATTTTCTCCATACTGTTCTCTAAACAATTCCTAAGGATGCTGACAAGGAGAATTTGTTTAACTATCAAGAGATTCTTTAGTTGGTGATCATTTCCATTATTCTCCTGACCTTAATGTGTGATTCAGGGGTGATATTGTAAGGAGAAATTAGATGCTGGTCACTCTTGGGAGTTAAATGGTTAAGGTACCACTTGTAGTTGGATTGGGGAAGGGGGATGTTTTTGAAGGCCAAGACCAAGCAGAATAGCAAATGGCAGGAAACAGGAGAGGAAAGAACAGGAATTTGCAGAAAAAAATTTAAATGTGAACAATCTTGTTAATTAGGAAACACATGTAATGTATGATCTTCTGAAACACAGCCCTGAAGATACGAGTCAAAGGCGTAGAAGGGAGGAGATCCACCAGAGTTTCTCTATCCTACTTGCCAGGTTCTGACTAAACTGCATTCATTGGTTTAATTGGTTAAGTTTCCAACATGCCATGCTTGCAGCAGTGTTTTCAAACTTAATGTTCACAAACAATTCATAATTATGGTTCAACTCTTCGATTCTGGCAGCATTACACAGTAGAAATGTGTTAGAATTGACTACAACTTACAACATGCAACATCACTCAAAGGGCACTTCTTGGAGGGAACCCACATATTGGAAGAACCAGTGTCAAAAACCACTTTGAATGGCTGCGGAGGAGTTCCAATTGTGATGGCTCCATAGTACTGAGCATCAAGATAATTTGAGAGAGGTTCTGGGCCACCATACTCCACTGAGTACTTGTGCTTCAACTCTTGCTGTGCTTTCTTAAGAATATCTTCAGATGAAATGCCGATGTCTTTCAAAGAATTCCTGATGGACCTGAACTTGTGCAAAGGCACTCTGCAATGAAAAAAACAAAAAACATTTAATTTTCAACAAACATGATCAATCACAGATATGCAGGGCTTGACACTAACAGTAGCCAACTAGCCACAGACTAGTAAAATTCAGTTTTGGATGTTGGTTTTCAATTTCCACTGACATGTTTGGCTAGTAAACAAACTGAAATTGTCTCAATATCTAAGTTGTCACTAACCACTTGGCTAGTAAGTTGAAAAGTTAATGTTGCCCAGATATGTTTGAAAAATTCAACAATGTTTAACTCTTTCACCATCAGAAATGACCAAAGAAAAACTTTACCTTGACCCCTTATACCCTAACTCAATATTTATTGGCACTAACAAGGAGAATTTATTCAACAATTGAAGCTTCTTAGGCTAGTGATCATTTCCTTCATTCTCGTGATCTAGGGGATCAAATGATTCAGCATTATCACCACTGCACGCAGCCAAATGACAAACTGCCTCCCGTTTAGCTCCATCGGTTAGAGCGCTGGACTGTTGTGCAGGAGGTAGAGGTTGATGGTTCGAGCCCCGGCCGGACCAACACTCAAGGTCTTAAAATAACTGAAGAGAATGCGCTACCTTTCTATAATATTAAGAAATGGATAGACATTCTAGTCTTCTCGGATAAGGACGAATAAACTGTAGGTCCCGTCTCCTGCATCTAATAATTAGTTAATTTGGTTAGGCAGGGGACGTTAAAGAACCCACTCACAAGATTGCTGTGATGTGGTCTGGCCTGTTTACTGGGAATTGGGGGGAGGGGGCATCTTCAAACAAGTTTCCTTCGATTGTTTGTAAACTGCTGATGCAGTCTGGCCAAAGTCCCCCAAAAAGTGTTGTGATGCCCATTTGATCATATCCACATGTTAATTTGCGCAATATAAATATTAAATTATTATTATTAAACTGCCCTCTTTAAAATGCTCCTTTTCGCGGGCCAAATGGCAAAAGTGTGGGCTGTAAATGGCATTTGACACCCTGACACATATTTTATTAAATGAATTTGTACCATTTGGCCTTGTGAATTAATAATAATGATAATCACATGACTTTAGTTAGGCAATAGTTTATTTGTGTCCCTTATAGCATCATTTGCAGCCTCACTCAGCTCAGGTGCAAATAATGTTACTTGGGCCACAAATAAACTATATACCCTCCAAAAGTCATGTGATTGTCCTAGTATTACTGCAAGGATAAAATTAAAAGCTGGTGGGTCTTTAAAGGGTTTAGATATCAAAGAGAGGAGAAGGAAATACCACTTGTAGTGTAGAATGTAATGTTTGATTTAACAGCAAATTCTCAGAACTAAAATTTTACAAAATGTATCACAGAGGGGGCAATGGGGTCTACTGTATTAGAAATTGCCAAACTGTAGATCTTGAGAGTGACAATTTTGCTCAGACCTATTTATACAACAATGTTCTAAAGAAGTCCCAATGGACAGCATTTTTCCCAGTAATCTTTTCTGGATTTACTGGCTCCTTTTGTTTGACAAAGCAGTAAAATACCTGAGTTGATCTAAAATAAATTATAAACTGTACTAGAGAGTATTTTCAATGGTTGGCCACCAAAATCCTCCAGTGAAGACTGACAACTTATTCCTGCGAGTGACGTATTTGTGCTGTAAATGTTTTCACAAGCAACTGCACTTTTCACATATCAACTTGTCAAACATAGACATGCTTTATAGTTTTCCTTCAAGTCAAGTATTAGAAAAAAATTGGAATCATTATTTCCCCTTGCTCAACACCAAGACAAAGAGAACCACTCCACTGAAAACAGCCCAGCACGAAATTTGGGGACGTCCTTAAGATCTTTTTAGTTATGTTATAATCCTAAGGAAGTTTCAAACCTCCCTTTCTCTGCTATTTATTTAACTTCTTTATTTTACGATATTTTTAGATAACTTACGTTTGCAGGTGAATAGGACTGGAAAATTTCACCAATCACAGCTTGAAACCATGAATTCAGTGACGTAATTTTCTACTTTGACAAATTACGAAAAACCAAATAATATTCCATTAACAAAACTACTTCAGTTTCATTCATCAAAATGAGAAAAAGTGAAAAAGCTCTTACAGGTGAGCGTAAACCTCTTTGTTCCTTGATTCCCTTTGCGATAATTTTAAATACCTTTCTCTTTCAAGTTAAACTATTTAGCACAAACAGAAGCAGCGCTGCAGCGGTGATAGAAATTCTAATAGCATGGCCTGGTTTGGCTCTCGAATTGATCGAAGGTGATTTTTTTTTAAGAACTGAGCAGAAGAAAGAAAATAAAACACAACTATCTAGCAGTGCTTCACTAGTTTAACGATGGCTAAAACATTGTCATAGATATTAAATTTACAAGCCTTGGTATAGCTGAGTGTGATGGCAATAAATGATGTGGAAAGTATGCATGGCAAAGACCTGAAGGTTCGATATGCGATCGACTTAAAAGAATCTGATTTCAGTTTACAAATGTGAAAATTTCATGTCCTTGGTGGAAAACGCATTATTGGCTGATAAGGAAACTCGCCGATCGCGAAAATCGAAATTTCTTTTTAACACATGCATTAAAAAAACTCCTTTGAATTGTGCGTTGAACAAAGCTACAATTGATTTTGTTTTCAATCTTTAAAATTTACGCCGTATTTTGTACGATACGTGGTCATAAAAAGCAAGAGGATCTTACCTCAGGGCAGCCTGTGATAGGCTAACCAAGAAAAAAGCCACGAGAACCACTGGGAAGTTCATGATCTTTTGCCTGAGTTGCACGCTAACAGGACGACAAAGTTAGTGCTTGAAGGTTTTATATTTAAGACCACGTGACTAACGTTAGGTCTGTCACGAGACTTTCCCGTCAAGAAGAAAATGGAAATAATTACGTATTCACCTATTTCAGCGAGCTGTTTTGACTCACTTTTTTTTGCGAAAAATAGCAGTAACTACTTCGAAAATTACAGTCACCAAAGGAAAATATTCCACAAATTTTCTCAAGTTCTTGCGAGAAAAAGTCCGCTTTCCGGTTCCTGACCCAGCAGCATCTCAGCTGGCGACATTCACCGACAACTTCCGAATAACTTCGGAGAATATACGAAGCTTCCAGTCCCAGTCCTTCGGTACTCGACCCAAACAAATATGGCTGCTGCAGAGGTGGTTCGATGGAGTTCAGTTGTTGGAGAATATGGGGTTTTACTGACCGAAATGGGATCCATGGAGGATCTGCAAAACCCAATAAAGCCATATCCTCGTATAAAGGTGTGTGGGCTGATGAGATGCCATAGAATTTCTTATGTTTGCCATAAAACTGCAGAAATGAAGTGCTCTGCGACAACTTGCGTCGAAACTGACGTGTTGTTTAGCAGATCATATCATTCTCACTAGTTCTGAGAACTTAACTTTTACTAAATTCGTATCTGAATTCGTATCTAACAAAATTCCTAAGCACGTAGGTAACTTATGGAGTGAAAACCCAAGCGATTTGCAAATTACTATTTGGTTTAGATCGAGAGGAGAATTCCAAAATTATTTTGGAATTCTCCTCGTTTTGTGAGTAGTGGGTAGGCTCCAGTCTGGAAGGCAATTACAAACAGAGAAGTCTGTTTACCTTTATTAGACGGGCATGGGTTTTTATATCAGGTAAGTAACACCGAGAGAAGGTACCACTTTCCTGCTGCATACAATACAATACAATAACTTTATTTAAACTTGAATTAAAGATGGCAAATACTTGCTAATATCTCCAAGTAAAGATATTAAAATTACTAAAATACAATACAATAAAAAAATTAAGTAATAAATATATGTCTAAATAAATTTGAATGTGACTAAAAAGTTAAAAATTGAAAATATTTACTGCAAAAGGTACAACAGTCAATGTCAAATTTCATTTTGGAAATTCCCAATTTAAATTTACTTAATTCAGGAATCGATCTCATGTAGTTAGGGAGAGAATTCCACAAGTTATCGCCCTGATCATTTTAAAAAAGAGAGTGAAGACCGTAAGTAGTGGTGTTTACTCTAGGTACAGTAAGAATATTGTCGCAATTTTACCTCACCCCCACCCACCTTTGACCCCTTCACTGAAGTGTGAAAAAGTGCTTTTTGTAGCTATGGATAAATAGCCCTACTTCTTGAATGTTTTTCCAGAAGTCTTGTTATTTTTTGTAGTAGAGGTTTTTGAGGAGGTGACTTAATTGATAATTGGCTAGAGTGTTTTAAGTGTGTAGACCTAACAAGCTTACTAGCATTAGGCTGATTGTATCATTTTCTTGTAGTATACTTGTATGACGGCTTGCAAGAAATACATAGCAATGGGCTCTTCTACTGGGGGCCTGTATATATTTGACAGGAAGACTTTGAAGCACATCAGGTTTATAAGTAACAAAGTAAGTTCAGCTGGAGTCTCACTGATCTGTAGACTCCTCCTAAAACAATTTTTTACTATCATGAAGGCTAGTTGAAACATAACATTATCAAGATGGTGCTCCTAATTCCTGAGTGAGTCATCTTCCCAGCTTGATATTCGAAGAAGTTCAGTAGCCTTTACCCATGGATCACAATAATATCTTGTTTTAAGCTTAGAAAACAGTTATATGTACTATCATTGGTCAATGAACTGGCCATATTTCACTGTAGAGGGTACTAAAATAATTTGAAAGTTTGTTTGAATTGAAATTTTTCCCCTGTATAATTATCTAAATCCAGAGATATTAATGCTAAATATCTAACTAACCTTGTTTTCCTTGGTCCATGCTGTACATAGGCAGTGGAAGCAGGGGTAGCTGTAGTCTCCCCTCCCAATCAAAAATTTGGGGGGCACAGAGACCCCCCCCCCTCTTTGCTTTGCTTCAAAAAATATAGCTAATGCAGCATAAAAATTGCCAAAATTTTACAATCTTGTGATCTTTTCACAAATCCTTTTGATAGCATCGGGCTAGGTGAAAAAATATGTTGTAAAATGTTTTTTGAACAGCTCCAGCCTATGTTTGAGAAGCATATCAACTGGAGCAATTCTCTATAATACTAGACCATGTGTCTAGGAAATTAGACATGATTTATTTTTGTCTCTGGTAATCAATTCAAATTTTAAGCTGAAAAACTTAAGACTGTGCTAGAAAATTTGATTACAGCAAAACTCAAAACTGTAAAGATTGCAAAGTGGTTTGCTTGTGGCAATGAACAATGCAAAGGGCAATTTGGAAAATTCAAGCAGGGGTATGTGCATGTCTACATGAATATAAGCCCTCCCCACATTTCAAATGCTCCACTGCCTCTATTGAAAGTTGTGGAATCTTTTTTTTTTTGCTCAGAATTATGGTCTAAAAGCAAGCAGAAAAAAACTTGCTTCATAACTAACAGTGAGGACCTCGAACTTGGTTACTTAGAGAAATTTCTGCACAAGAGATTTATTACTGAAATGATATTAAAAGGTTTTTCCTTTTGATCTTAGATCTGCTACTTTGTAGTCAAAAATATTGTAATACTGTATACTAAACTGTTTACATTATTTGGTTCGCAAACTAATAGGATGGCCCTATCCTAGCCATTTGCTTCACTCAATGCCGCAGTCTTTTGGGAGTTGCAACAAGGTATCAAAAATTTTTCTAAATGGTCGTTCTTACTTATTATTGTTTAAAAAATAATTGAAAGCCAAACAGGTTTTACTTGATGGCCAACTTGAAATCTGTACAGAGTTAAGTAGGACTTGTCTCTTCAAAATTATGTGCTTCATGATTTACTCACCTTTGATTTGACCATAATCCGGTGAATTTTGAAATTTCACCTGCATTTAGGCCTTAAAAAAGAGACCAGCTTCTGATTTTTCCTTACGGTATCTTCCTTGAATCAACTGTAAAGGTCATGAGGATAACAGAAATGATCATCTGTGAAGTTCCTGACTGTCCAAAAATTTCTCGTTGTTATTACCAAAGGAAATGTCAGGAAACCATAGGGGGAGAATTTGAATTATACTGATGTTCAGGTTTAAAAGATAGAAGTCTTTAGTCCCATAGCAATCACATAATTATTGACTATGATACAATTTGTAGTTATTATAAAATACACTTTCATTTTTAATTGTCTTTGCCGATTGTGCTGACTTGATTTAATTTAATTTGATTTGATTTAGTTCTGGTTTTGTCCTTGTACTGCAAGTTAGTTCTAGAAATAGAGAAAAACCAAAGGTACAGTTAATGAAAATGAATTTTCTATTTTAAATACAGTTGTAGTACTTATTAGTTTCTTACTCAATAACAAGTCTCTTTGGATGAGTGTATCTGAAAAAAAAGAAGTGAGGCTTAGGTCTGGTCAAAAAAAAAGGATGGAAGTTTGGATCAGGTCACCTAACAAATGCACCTTGACCCAAACTTCTCCCTATTCATCCCTTTGCTACTAATATTTCACAGTTTACTATAATTGAAGACCAATTTCCTGCATGTAACTGATGTAACTGACCTCCTGGAAGAGGTGAATCTATTTCAGTATCTCAGAGCAACTGTCCACCTACCCTCCCCTCCCCAACATATAATGTTGCAGGTAAAAATTAAATTCATGCAGGTAAAAAAATTTTAACCTACACTAGGTTGAATTTCAATTCTCTTTGTCTCCAAGCCTTAACTGTGAATAATTAGGACTCGGAGACAAAGGAAACTGAAATTCAACCTAGGTTAAAAATTTTCCACCTGAATTTAATTTTTACCTGCAACATATATACTCACTTGCTATCATTTGACTGTTTTGGGTAAAGGAAGGAAATTGGACCTGACCTGATCCAAACTTCTCTCCTTTTTTTCAACCAGACTCAAGTCTGACACTACTTTTTTTTACTCCACAGCTTTATCATGTGATTATATAATTGTGATATTGAACATGCAAACATTCATTTACCTTCATGATTAAATTTTGATCATAATCACTGCAAATTTACTTGCCATGGTAACCAAAATGGTAGGTTTAGTTCATAATCTAAACTTACATGTGATCTAAGGCCATGAAAGAAATTGTTAATAAGTGTTCCATATTGACAGTTTATCAGGCGATCAGAGGAGCACAAGGACACTACTGTGACTTCACTTTGCTGGGATAAAGATGAATCTCGTCTTTTCACCGGTGATGTGAATGGTGTTGTGAGTGTCATTCATGTACCAGTGGCAAGTAAGGTAACCATTTTTAGTATTGTCATGAATTTTTTTTCGTGCTGATATAAAATTGCAGTATGTAAACATCTCTGAATTTACAGTTAGTACCAGCCTGTGGATTGTGCTAAGAATTAGTAAGGATTTTCATATTTTACATTTCACTCAAGAGCACATTTATATTGCCAATATCATGACTTTGTTCTTTTTTCTAGTTGCCTCACTCTGTAAACAAAGGCTTTCCATTGCTGCATACTACCAGTATTGTAGCAAAGGCCCAAACAGCCATTGTTCAGCTGGACTGTATTAATGATAAACTTCTGGTTTCCACCATGACCAAAACTGCCATCGTTGATCTGAAAAGGTTTGCTCACCAAAGAATTGGTATACACTTTTTGTTGCACATCCTTTGTACATGTACTTAAGCATGATAAAAGGGCATTGTTGAATATGGGAAAGGATTTCTGTTGTTGGATTCCTAAAAAAGCCAGTTTTGGTAGACTTGCCCAAGATCTGATTGTCAGTTAATTATCACCCAGGCTATACATTCCATTGTAAATTAGTTCTGAGTATTTGGTGCAAGATCTCACTAACAACTTCTGTCTGTTGAGTTTGAGTATTTCTTATCACCTGTTTGCCAGATAATATATGGATATTATTCATTGAAGTTACATGTTAATCACTTTTAATGAAGTTACAGGCATATTCTTGAGATTTTACCATGCTTGCTTGATTTGTTGAATTTGATGAAATTGTGGCAATTGAGGGTGTCTAAAGGGTGTAAGGGGATATCAAAAGTATTTCTAATGGTTTTCCAAAGCTAAGGTAATCATAGACTGAAGCAAATTGGCAGACTTGTCTGCTCGTTTTGCTACTTCAGCAGTATTCTGTTTGGAACCATCGCTCTGATTGCTGTTCACAATATGATAGTAACATTTATTTCTTAATTAGTCCTGAACTTCTACTTTGTCCTTGCATAAGATAGAAAATTGCAAGGGGAATTTATTAGTTTGTTAAGTTTAAAGGTTGCAAAGAGACTGAAACAAGCAGACATGGTGCAACCTTAAAGCTGCTGCTTTCTCCCCATTCCCAGACCATCAGTCAGAATAACAAAGAGCTGGGTCAAACTTAATCTTTTTTCATTCTTGTTAGTTTGGATTGTGTGCCAGTTGGGGTCAAACTAAGGTATGTTTTAAAGTATTTTTTCTTTTTTTTTTTTGTTCTTGGTTATGTTTTATTATTAAGAACTGGAATTTAGAGGTTAAATCATTATCTTGAACCAGAAACAAAGAAAGCAGTTCAAAGCTTTGTTTTCCAAACAATTAAAGGCTCTGTAAAATTTCAGGGATGGTTTATATGGAAGTTGCTTCTTTAAAGAAGAGAATTCTGAAAGCCCCACAGTCTACTCAGCACGTCCAGGGTCAAGAATATGGGAGGTGAGTGATCATTAACACATGTTGGGCCGCTTATTCACTTGAGGTCTAACCCAAACTGCATCTTTACGCATGCTTTGGACCTGAGGGATTTCTATAAAGAGGGATGATTTAATTGATTAAATGTCCTTTCCATTATTAGGTTTCGGCCCTCTTGACACTGTTCACAAACATGAATGTTCAGGCGAAAGGTTCAGCTAAATTGAAGATAGCTTAGAATGTGATTTTGTTAAACAAATATTTTCCAAGGAATCATGAAGAGTTTTGACATCACAACCCAAATCTTCTCTGTGCTCAGCCCTTTCATTATCAAAGATTTTGTATGAGGTACAATCACTGGCATGGACTATTATAATTTTCTATTTTTAAATTACTTTTTTGAAGTATAATTATTTTGACAATGTTTTGTGGTCATTCTAAGCTTCAATGGCTTAACTCTACTAGGTCAGCAAGCATGATGTAGTTGTAAGACTTTCCAGGTTTATATAAACAAAGATATGATTTTTACTCATCTCGGTGCAACATGTTTGTTTGACTGAGAGACAATTATTACAAGCAGTTTTTCACACTAGTTTAAAGTAAGGAATGAAGGAAGAGATTTCATCCAGTAGGGACAATCCAACACAAGGGCATGAAAGTTTGAGGATTCATGACAGCATCAGACTACCCTCCCCGTACAAAAGATTATGTGACATATCACAACATTATCTCAGGCTATGGTTGAAACAATGACTGTTTTATGAGACCCACTATTTTTAAGGATGATATGATGCATCGTCATTGGCCACACATACCAATTACTATCTTAAGTCTAAAAAATCTATCTAATTGACAGGCACTTTCACAGCCATTGTACTTTAATTTTAGATGATAGAATGTTGTAATGAAAATAATGTTTCCTCCTCATTTTTTACAGGCCAGCATGGATGGTCAAGTCACGGCCACCCAACAGTACAAGAAACTTCTGGGTACACCTCCAGCACCAATGCTTGGCTATAGGTTTGTGATTCCAATCTGTGATTCCCCCCCCCCCTTTTTTTTTTTTTTTGCAAAATGCAAGTTTCTAGCAGACTGTTCCAGCATTTTTTTTTAATTGAATGTTCTCACAGATTTGGTGTAAATATTGTGCCATGAGAACCCTCATTAAGACATGTTGATGGTATTTGTCAGTTTGTTTGTTTCTGAAAAATACAAATGTCTCGTGTTCTGAGGTCCATTTCTGGAAACATCCTTAATTCATGTCTCATTTTTCCTTTTTTTGTTCCATTTCCATTCAAGAATGGACAGGGACTGATGAGACTGAAGATTGAAGCATCATTATGAAAATTACTAATAAAATTAATTATAGTTATTATTTATAAAATATTGTTTCACCTTATAAAGCCACAGTGATGATGAGCCTGTGGAAGAAGAAGAGTTTCCTCCACAGTCTGTAAATTTTGCAAAGCTGCTGCTTGTAAGGTAATTGTTTAAGTGATAACTTCTAAAATTAATTTTAGGTCAAATTTAATTTCAATCTGGCTTGAATTGTTTTGACTCTCCATTTTTTTAGGTACATTACTATGATAATCGAACAAATGAAAATGCAAATCAAACTTAGTTGGGAATCCCTTAGTTCAAACCCGGGGTCATTTTAAACTAAATGTACAACTCAAGTCTCACAATCCATTAAAGTTCTTGTTCTGTCTGCTTAATTTTTGTCTATTGTATTTTTTTTTTAGTTTTATTTTGGGTTCAATTTATTTGTTATAGTTTATTATTTTGAATTGAGTTGTTTGTGCAACACCAGCCATACTGACTTTTCAGGTGAATAATAAAAAAGTAAACCCAAAAGAGTAGGATCAAAAAATTCATTGTTCTAAAACGCTATGCTCTATCCTGTATGCCATTTGTGTTCTAATGCTTGTGTAGTCAATTGGTCAAGATCAAGTACTTTGTCCCTTTGATTACCAGAAGCAATATATTAATTCAAGAATGCCTTCCATCTCTCTCAGTCAATCAGCACTCAGTAACTACTCCCCTTACCATCTATCTGTGGAGGCATGGTGGCCTCACAGTTAGTGCGCTCAACTCCAGATTGGGTAATTGTGAAGAAGAGTTCCCAAAAAACCTGTCGGCCGACAGTTGGCTGTTTGTCGGCCAACTGTTGGTCAACTGTCGGCCAACTGTCGGTGGCCGACAGTTGGCCACCGACAGTTAAACCTTATTATATTGATTGTCCCTGCTGGTTAATCATCTCAGAAAGAAATCTTTTTACCATCAATCAATCAGTAGGCTAAGCTTAACTCGTGTTTTATCGGGACTGTTATCGTTTCTGGGTCATATTTATTGCGTGTTTTCACACGCAGTAGCCTGTCATTAGCCTGTTGGTTAGCTGTCGGTAGCCTGTTGGTAACCTGTTGGTAATCTGTTGGCCGACAGTTGACTGACAGTCGGCCGACAGGTATTTTGGGGAGCTCTTCTTCACAATCACCCCAGATTGAGTGGTTTGGGTTTAAGCTCTGGCTGGTGACATTGTGTTGTGTTCTTGAGCAAGACACTTTACTCTCACAGTGTCTCTCTCTTCACTCAGGAGAATAAATAGGTTCCAGCAAATTTAATGCTGGGGGTAACCCTGCGATGGAGTAACATCCCATCCAGGGAGGGAATAGAAATACTCGTAGTCACTTCATGCTACAGCGAGAAACCAGATTTAAGCACCGGCCCGATGGGCCACCTGGCTCGTAAGCAGGCTTTATCTTACCTTACCTTACCTTATCTTACCATGTATCTACATGTATTAGGGGTCGGTTCCTTGTGACATGGCATGGATCATCACTGTATATTATGGATCCAATCCTTGGGCAGTTAGTGGCCTGGTACAACATTAACACAGGTAAAGACTCAGAAAAAAACTTAGATGTTAGGATTTGTTTGAACTTTTATATTTCATGACAATATTTAGTACATTTAATTTAATGCTGCCATTCTAATAATGAATGTTTGCAGTGGTCCAGGATCTTGTGTGCATTGGAGATGAATTCTTTGTTTATGATGCTGAAGATTGTGTGAAATGGTTTGCCCTTCTCTCTGTTAAAGAGTGCATCTCTAGACTGCATGAAATGGGAGAAATCAGACAGTGTTTAAAGGTTAGATGGATAGATAGGTAGTTTATTTGAAAAACATTGCAACCAAAGGTTGAATTACACATTCATTTACAATATTAAGAAATATATTTTCAGAAATGGTAACTGAGACTTTAAAATATTGAAAATTAGGTAACATACAATAAAGTCAGCTTATACAAAGCGTACGTGAATGATGAAAGATAGAACTATCACAGCACCTGTTCGTACAGACCACAGGTAAATTAAAAGCGCGCTTTTTCCTTAAGTCCACTCTAGATACATTCCTGGGCAGCAGGAGCTTATACAGCTTGTAACCTGGTACAAGAACATTAGGAAAGAGCTGGTTGGCAATATTCTTGCTTCGCTCATGCAGCGAGATAAGCCCAGTGCACNTTCTAAATCAACTGATAGATATTGAGGCAGGCTGCTGTGAGAGAGCGCGCATGCGTATTCCATAACAGATCTAATACATGTAAGATAGAATAAAACGAGCTCCTTAGACTTAACCTGGGCGCACTTTAATTGGCGTAGGAAGTAAAGCCGCTTGTTGACTTTCTTTACTATCTCATCTACATGCGCGTTCCATTTGAGATGAACAGAGAAGGTGACACCTAACATCTTAGCTTTATGAACGCACTCCAACTCCTTACTATTGACCACAATTGGGTCAAAGTCAGGTGAGGATCTTGAAAATGAGATGCGTAGCTCCTTACATTTGTCCTCGTTCAACTGGAAACCGTTTAGAAATAATGACTGTCCAGATTGTGGAGAAATTAACTTAGGTGTTCGGCTCTGGGTTCTCGAGGTAAACAGCTACGATTTTTGTAACTTAGCAGTCACCAAGTTGCACAACAAACACACTGCATGTATGCGAACAGTTCTATGTTAGCAACATGGAAAATGGGAGCATTGTTCAACATTTAAAGTAATTTGATTGAGTCTGGTAGTAAAAAGGGAAAGAAAAATATTCCAAACGAGGACAAACTGTCGGATTACGAGGCATAACGTCACACTTTCGTGCATTTAAAATGACAGGTTGTGCTTGACTGCAAGCAATTTATCATTCCCGGATCAGCAAGAGATGTGGTTCCAGTTTCTTTGGTAACAAACCTCAAAGAGAGCTTAAGTGAAGAAGACGTGGAAAACAAGGTTTGATTTCACAGAGTATTATACAGTAATGTAGCTGAAACTGGTGATAACCCACAACACGCCAGGCAATTTCAGTATTTAGCTACAGTCATAATTTAACTTCTATACCATAACAACAGCAACTGCTTTCGTCCTTTCCGCAAGTATTTATGGGATTTCACGCAAAGCTGTTCTCCTTCCCCCCTCCCCGCTCCCCCTTCCTGTAGATGAGTGTATGTCCATTTCGCAAATGTTACGGATACATTTAAACGTTAGGAAGTCCTAAAAATGTCTTCGTCTCTTTTAGTATCAAATTGCTGAGCTGGAAGAAGTCGAGCGTGATATGGAGCCTGCAACAGAGGACACTCTCACTCCACCTGGTTTCCATGGTAACACCAGCCTGACTGACAGTCCTGAAACGCTGAGTGTGTGTAGTGATGCATTCACTGATGACCTGGAGCCCAACGGGAGAACGGCGGAAATGGGACAAGAAGATGACAACTTGCCAAACAACAAGTGCGATGATGATGGGTCAGAAGTTAAAGGGGCTCTGCATAGGATGCTTATGAAACAGTGGAGTGGGGATATCTCATTGGAGGGAGTGCTGATGTCAGCTGCCGCGGCAGCCAAAAAGTTTACTGCTGAGCGTCAGAAAGGACACTCCAAACTGAGAAGATTTCACTCCGCTGATAGCGCAGGAGGTGGAAGACGGGCAGATTCTCCCGGGGCAAACAACAGCAGTGAGCCACAAAGTGATGCTGTCGAGTTCAAAAGTGAGGGTGCCTCGGACCCTGGTGAACCGAATGAACTGCCGGATATTCAAGAAGTCATTCGTGAAGAAGAGAGTCCTCGACTGCGAAAAAAAACTCGCGAGCAGAGTCCTTGTCACTCTGATGACAGTGAAGCAAGACAGTCGGGAAATGAAGGGACAGTCGTGGAAGAAGAAGCTTCTGAAAAGTAAGAAACATCAGTTATTTCTACCAGTTTTCCTCAAAAGATGGGCTTTAAATTCCTTAAAGAAGAGACTGATTTTATTAGTAACAAAATCCAACGTTTTATGGCTTAAATTGTCGCCGTAGGATGTTCAACTAGATGAAGCATCTTTTAGGGGCTGGGTCAGTGTTCGTGCAGACTTAAGACTTTTATCCTTTACCCTTTGATGGAAGTGATGAACAAATCAGTAAGGTGACTGAGCGAGTTTGTTGCCGTCTGTCGTTCCGTCATGTTTAGCTTTTGCTTCATTTTATTTTTACAGAAGGGAAAAGCGAGAAAAGAAGAAGAAAAAGAAAAGAGTTGTTACAGTCGGTAGGTTTGCTGTCTTCACATAAATCACGTCTCAGTACATATTTCCCTTGATAGTTCTGCCAAATGCATTGATTGGTCTTTTTCTTTGGGGACATTTCAGTTTGTCCACCTTTGACTTTCAAGATCTGATTGCTAATTCTCCCCTCTAGTTGCTACACATTTCTTTGTAAATTGGTTATGAGAATTGGGGCTAGGTCAAGACATCAGCTTCCACCTGATGAATTCAAGAATTCTCATTACCTGTTTGTTGGACAATGTGTGGATAGTAAAGGGAGAAATTACATATTAATCACCTCTGGGATTAATAGGGTTAAATACGCTGTATCCTGACTATACATCTACATGTGTCTCCATTTCTTGTTTTCTCTTTAGATATCGATTCACCTCAACTGAAACAAGGTAGGTTAAACTTTTATGTGTAATCAATTCTACACAAATGACCTAAGTAATAACCTTGCTAACCGCAAAGTCTTTGTAGTTCATGGTAGAGCGTTGGGGCGCGGAATTCTAAGGTCTTGGATTCGGTTTCTCATGGGAATTTTTTCTTTGCTCCACGCCCGTGACAATACGGAAAAACATCGTTCGGATGTTTTTATTGTTACCCAAGGAGTATATTGTTTCAAAAAATGATTCCCTTGAAGTGACTGATAAATATCTACGTCATATGATTAACAAGTAGTGAACACCACAGCGTACACTATTGAGTTATGGATGCACGTGGGAGGTTGCTAAGCACGCAAGAAGCGGAAGAGTCGGGTGAGGCGACTCTAGCTTCTTGAGTGTGTAGCAAACCTCCCAAATGGATCCATAACTCGATAGTGTACCCTGTGATGTTTACCATTTGTTTTATAACATAACATTGATACACTGTAGCAAAAGAGTTCCCTTTATTTAAAAAATCTTACGTGACCAGGAAAAAAAGTGCGCGGAAACTAGTCTTTGCATTTGCACACGTCAGCAGCGTACGCCCCTGGGCAAATGGTGGACACTTGCATGACCAATCAGACTGCGCGCTTTACTTTGGTTATGTTGTAATACTACAGAGTGGACGAGTACAATGCTACAGCGGTAATTCTCAAGTGCCCTGTGAGCGATTCGTTTATGGTTTTGAAGAAGAAAGAAATGAACTGAAATGATATATATTTTCCCTTGTGAGTTTGATTTATTCTTCTCGAGCTCCGATGTTGTTTGATCATTGTTAAATGTTGTGATATTCAGAGGTATCGCTGGGTAGTCCCATCTCCTATGTGCGGAGCGCTTCTTTTCGTGGCACTTACTCTCCAACTGAGGATGCAGAGGTAAGACATTTTTGTGACACAGTTGTTGATTGGAATGTTCGACACTTTGTGTCTGTCTGTCTGTCTGTCT